TGGATTTAGAGCGTCCACGTTCGCAAATCTGTCTAAATGAAAAAGACTCAAACTCTGTATTAAGAGAAAGGTTCTAAGTAGAGTTTTTCAACAACATTCAATAACTGGGTATAAATTAGCACATATTATTTAATATTTTCATCACTATATAATATACCCAAATGTCATTATGTAAATCAAAAACCCTAAATTTGTTGATGACTGAAGTTGTCTTGTAAGTTTAATGCACTAAGAGATTTCGTGCACAATCTTGTAAGTTTATTAATGCTAGAACATATCTTCTAGAGAAGAATTTATGAATGGTAAAAGATGGGGCAGATGACAAGGTACTTATGTGTCAATGCTAGAACATATCTTCTATACATACTAGGGTTCATCATTCTCCCATCAGATCATGGGGAAATTCATGTATCATATTTACCCTTTATGGAAAACATAAGAAAGGTGGACAGCAACAATCATTTATTCTCGGGTTCCATGGAGATGGTATGACCTTATAGGTCCTCACCATTCCATGTTGGCGACCTTCTCTCTTCATTTTGTACAAAAATGTGTTGTTGGCTTAAATGAAATGAAGAAGGATGAGGAATAGTGTTCCTATGGGTGTCTTTTATATGAAGTTATTAAACAGAGAAGACTTGGGAATGGTTTATTCAATGTACTTGTGGAAGGAAGGAAGGAAAGAATGTAATGAAGAATATTGTCTGGCAGTTTGCTGATAATGTCCTGGCTTTCACAACCGTCCTTTACTATTTTTTTCTTCCGGAATTTTGATTTTGGCGCTGGAATGATGTTACTCATCCTCACTATTCTTCTCTCCCAGAAAATAAGATGAGGGAAATTTAATTATGAAGAATAGTTAGTGCCGTATATATGAGCATTTGATAAACAAAATACAGAAGATATTAAATATCTTAGTTAAATGTTCTAATATGAAATGTATCAGCATAATGTACCCACAATTTAACTGGTCCGAAACTATTGTTAATACATGAAAAAAAGTCAGTACATAATATTCTTCAGTGAACATAGAGAAGAGAACTTCATAGTAGTAAAGAATAAAAATCAAATACCCACAAAGCATTGTAGCTAAAACTTAAGTGAAAGTAATGAAATCAATAAATTTCAAGGTCAAATCAGATGCACCTTAATCAAAGAACAATTGGGGTTCACACAAATCTTCAGTCTTCAGTTTCTACTTATCTAAGAAAATTAGAGTCAAGGCGTTGTTCAGTTATATATTAACACAGTGAGAATACGAAGGGGCTTGTGGCGCCTCGTTTACTTAAGAATTTTGTATAAATTTTAAAAATAAATATTAAGTTTCATTAAAAACAGGTTGCTTTTCATTTCCCAAGGAAAGTGAGACTTTATAACTTTTCAATCTTGAATTAATTGGTGGCGCATGGGTCTCTTAATTTATTTATTTATTTTAACTGGGAGTTTATCAACAGTTAAGTGATAGATGCAGAAACGAAAATCATCGGGGTGCGTTTTTGTAGATGCGGAAGGGCCGAATGAAGGCGTCCCATTAGTCCTACCACATTATCTTAAATATTCCCCATAAGTTTATGTGACACCATTAAAAGCATTTCAAATTATACCAAAAGCAGAATACATCACAGAAACAAATAAATCAACATTACAACCAAGCTTTATCTCCTTCAGATTCCCACTTCATAACATTATGCCTTTCATCATCAACATGATCTTCATCTCCAACATTTATCATCTCATCTCTTTATGCTTCAAAATATTGACCAAATTAACCATTATAGCTTCAAACATCACTGCCATTATCATCAACTTCCTCATCTCCATAATCACTACCCAAATGATCCAATAGCCCCGTGGCTGAAAACCCGGAATAATTCAAACCGGGTCGGCCATCTGTAACCCGCCACGTGATGGACTTATAATTTGAGACCAAATCACGTGAGTTAAACTTCTGAGTTCCCTTGGTCTTGTCTTTGGATTTACAAGCCGGGTGCATATGACATTCTACACACCGTGGCTTGCCACACTTTCCTGTAAACTTGGAGTGATTGGTGGGCTTTGATGGCACTTTGGTAAATAACCTGGAAGTCGGGGGCGAATCGAACTTGTTGACGAACCGGGTGTCTGGTGTNAACAGAAATAAACAAGTTAAACATAATGAAACTGAGATGAAAGATAAGAAATCTTCCCAAAAGATGAATCTTCTAGTCAAAATCTAAACCTTCTTCCTTAACAATCCGAAAAACTCAAGCTTTACTCTAAGAAAAGTGTAAAAACGGCTAAACCTAAAAAGCTCAAGATCCCCTTGGCAAAAGGTTAAGTTTTTCTTTTATACTTAGTCCAAAAACCCAGCCAAAAACACGCATGACACAAAACTGTGCGTTTACAAAATTGAATAAGTTGACTGTCGCCGCGGCGAAGAAGAATTCTTCGCCGCGGCGAAGAATGAAGAAATCCCACATCGTCTCTGGCTTACTTCGCCGCGGCGAAGACAATTTCTTCGGCGGGGCGAAGCTCCTTCAAAAGTTCTGAAATTTACAGAACTGCCATTCTGCTTGATTCTTCATTCGATTCTTCGATTTTTGGCTCTCTTCCTTGGAAACAAGCTTCATCGTACTTTGTCCTGTCTGGAACTCTCCTATCTTCCGAGATCCGCTAATTTCTGAGTCAAAACTATCCGGTTTTGTCTTTATTTGCTTTAAAAGTCCATTTTAACCTGAAACACGAAAAGTAAAGAATTAAGCACCAATTCAGGTAAAAATGCACTAGAAAGTACCTGAAATCCGACAAAAAGATCAAATAAAAACTGTATAATTTATGGATTATCAACTGCAGAAGCCATGGCCTTATACTCAGCTTCAGAAGATGATCGAGAAACCATCACTCGTTTTTTAGATTTCCAGGAGATAAGAGAGGACCCCAAAAAACACAAAATCCAGTTATGGATCTTCTGGTAAGCAAACAAGAAGCCCAATCGAAATTACAGTAGGTAGAAAGCTGCAATGAACCAGTTGATGGAAAAAAATAACCCCAAACCAGGAGCAGATTTAACATATTTCACAATTTTTAAAGCAGCCTGCATATGTGAATCCTTACGAGCATGCATAAACTGACTAAACAAGTGGACTGAATAGCTTAAATTAGGGCGAGTCATGCATAAGTACAGCAGTTTACCAATTAATTTCTGATAACCAGAAGCATCTTTGAGTAAGGGATCTCTAGGAACATTGAACTGCTTATCATATTCCAAAGAAGTGAACTTAATGTGCTGATCAATAGGAATAACAGCAGGTTTGCTACTTTATAAACCAGTAGCAGAAATTAATTCAAAAGCATACTTGCGTTGGCAAATGGAAATCCCTTTATCAGACCTAGCCACCTCCAAACCAAGGAAATATCTAAGTAGTCCAAGATCCTTAAGCTTAAAATTTGACTGAAGTAACCTTTTTGTATCATGAATCAGATTTGAATTACTTCCAGTGATGACTATGTCATCAACATAAACTAGAATCACCACAATGTGAGTTTTATGTCGTTTGATAAAGAGAGAATAATCTGATTTTGCTTGGGAAAATCCTCCCTGAAGCAAGGCTGAAGTGAGTTTAAAATTCCAGGGCTCGAGAAGCCTGTTTAAGTCCATATAAGGACTTGTGAAGTCTACAAACCAAATGTTGTCTAGAAGGTTTATGAAAACCTTGAGGCAAAGACATATAAATCTCCTCTGATAAATCACCTTGTAAGAATGCATTATCCACATCAAGGTGATATAAGGGCCAATCATAAAGTGAAGCTAAAGAAAGAATGGTCCTAACAATTACCATTTTAACAACAGGGGAGAATGTTTCCTCATAATCAATTCCATCCTGTTGTGTGTAACCTTTAGCCACCAACCTGGCTTTATACCTCTCCAAGGTGCCATCAGCATTAAACTTCAATTTGTATACCCTTTTACATCCTATGGGACTTTTACCAAGGGGCAATGGAACCAATGACCAAGTATGATTGTTCTCTAGAGCTTTAATTTCCTTTGACATAGCTTCTACCCAGTTAGGATCTTTGGATGCTTGGGAAAAACTAACTGGTTCAGTAAGGGAAGAAATTTTACTAAGGCAGGCTTGGTAAGTGGGTGAAAGGTGATTGTAATTTACAGAATTGGAAATTGGATATTTGACTAAGTGAGTTTGTGAGGAAGATAGAAGTATAGGACAATGGTTGTCTATAGTCTAGATTGGAGGTTTTGTAATTCTGGAGGATTTCCTTAACGGTATGGAAGAGGGTTGAACTGAAGTATCAGCTGTAGAATCTGTATTCGGGAGAGGAGAATCTGTTGTAGAAGGTATATGTGAGTGAGGAGACACAATTGGATCTGATGTATGACCTGGAAAACCATTTACATGTATGCAAGGTTGTGAAAGAGGTGTATTGGAACAATCGACTTCTAGAAAAGAATCAGATGGAAAAACTGAAAATTCTGTTTTGGACAAGCTTAAAGGAAAAATATGTTCATAAAAAGTCACATCTCGGGTGGTATGAACTATATGGGTGTCTAAGTTGTACAGCAAATATCCCTTTTTATTTAAGGAGTATCTTACAAAAACACATGGAATGGACCTAGGGGTAAATTTGTCTTTGGGAGTAAGGATTGTGGAATAAGCTAAGCAACCAAAGTCTCTCAAATGTGTCAAGGAAGGAGGTTTGCCAAATAATTTTTCAAGGAGAGAGACCTTTGAGGATAGGGGTTGGACACCTATTAATTAGATAGACTGCTGTTTGAATACAGTAGCCCCAAAGTGTGTGTGGTAATTTTGAGTGAAACTTTAAGGCTCTAGCAACCTGTAAAATGTGTCTATGTTTTCTCTCCACAATACCATTTTGTTGTGGAGAGTAAATGCATGAACTTTGATGCTGAATACCTAGGTTTGCTAACAAATCATGACAATTTCTATTAAAAAACTCTAAGCCATTATCAGAACAAATGCATTTAGGTGTTACATTAAACTGNATCATCACCACTTCCATTTTGTTTTCTATCAGCTTTCCCTGTGACAAGTTCACCCAGACTATCAATACTTGCTACTTAAAAGGCTAAAAGTAAAACAACTTCAGATAGTGTACAACTGCTAGACCAGAACAAAAGAAGTTTAAGTAAATAACTTTGAGATGTTCATGCCAAGAACAGGGAGCTTACAAAGTGACTTGAGTTGTCATTTCTCGATGTTTTGGCATTACCAAATGCTTCTAAGATTGAATTAGTCTTCAATATTTCATATTCTATCCCACTGCCACCACCAAGAGCAGCTAAATATTGCATCGCTATTTTTGCTGTCTCAGTTTTTCCTGCTCCACTTTCACCGCTGGACAAGCAGGTGAATATTAGAATCAATACATGAATATAGGTATACATTTTGAAACAGCAACAGAATTTTAAAATTTGACAGATATAGGGGAGCATCTCATGCCTATAAGTCAGATTCTGCAAAGGATACGAAAGGGATAACTTGAACAAAACTACCATGTTCCATTCCATATCACAGTATGGGGAAAACTAGAGTAAAGTAGGGCATCTAGCCAGCCACCAAAATGAAAAAGCACAAAGGGAGGAAATAGGTTATAAACTTTCATTTTACTTGATGAGAAATGACTTGGAATGAAATGCGCTCAAACCAGCTCAGATGCAATACAAACATGAGTAAAGCAATATATCCATAATCCAAAAGCAAATACAATGAACTGCAATATTCAGGTTGACTCATCTAGGCATACAATACAAACAGAATGATAAATGGAAAATATAACAAAAGGTTGAAAAGACAAAATCAAGTTAGTTATTAGTTACAGTCTACAAACCTTATGATGATCGATTGATTTACTTTCATCAGGGAAAAGAAAACAAGACAGAATTAGTATACCAGAGAGAGAGAACAATTGCTAATACAGGACCGCTCAATCCAATACTATTCAACACAAAATGCACCTCGTGTCATTTCTCGGATGGCTGTATCTGTAATAGCATACACATGCGGGCTCTCAATAGATTTGTTCTTATATGCCCCCATATAGTCATTTCCATATAAAGGAACTTACTTGAAGGGATTGCTAGCAACCAACACAGGTCCTGCTTGGGTCTATATTGCACACAATTATACCCAGTAAAAGAATTAAAAAAAGCTTGCAACATACTACCAGAATTAAAATTAAATATAACATCAATATGAAAACACTTACATAAATTGTATCTTGCTTGTATCTATACTGGAGATTGTACAATACTGCCGGTTCATTCAAATAGCTAAGTTGCATGAGATCATCGACACCATCAAGGATATCGGGATTTGCCGAAATCAAACTTTCAGATTTCACCTTTTGAACCTACAATATATGAATTAAAAAGAAGGGTCAACTATCAATTGATACAACATTTTCAATGTTACTGAAATCTCACTTACTTTTCCCTCAGGCAGTGAAACAATTGATTCTTTCCCTGAAGTTGACACTATCTTCACAAGCTCCCAGTTTCCATTTGGAAGTTGAAGCCAAGATTGAAGTTTCTGAAACAATTAACTTCAACAAGTAGGTAAAAAAAATCAATGAATTGTAAGTTAAGGATGTCTATTTGAGGTGACTGCCGTGATTTGAAATCCATCACTGTTATGTCAAGCCAGTGATCGGAAACTATATACACATTTGATGTGAAAAAGTGTGGCTTTCCTTGGCACACAAAGCCAAGACTGGTCGCCCACCCACAGCAAACCCAACAAACAGCACCCAAAGCAACATGGCACTGCCTCCCTAAGCAAACACTAGCACAAGCCAAAACAAGCACCTGCAGAATAAACCAAGTCACCCCCCAGCCCACCCAAAAGCCAAACTAAAAGTTTTTGACAGAGAAGAAAAACGTAGAAAAGGAGAAAAAGAAGAATTCCTCAGATTCAATTAATTCGCACAATTTTGTACAATTACTTTAGTAAAGTAAGTCAACTAATTCAACTATTAGCTCCACTGACTAACTCCATTAGTTCAGTTAACTGTAGTTACTTTAGCTATAACAATATTTAACTAAAACAATATTATGAGGCTGTAGGCTAGACTGCAGTAAGCTGATGTGTATTCTCAATTACACCACCCCATCCCCCCCAAAAGGTGGTGAGTGATAAAGATTCACACTCCCACTTGGATAAGAGGTGATGATGGAGCTAACTGCCAGGGCTTTAGAAAGATATCTGCCCTTTGTCCACACTAGGAACCATAGTGAGTTTGATAAGACCAACCTGCAGTTTCTCTTGGACAATATGGCAGTCTATATCAATATGTTTAGTGCGTTCATGAATATGGTTTTGAAGCATGTGCAGGCTGACTGGTTATCACAAAACAAGAAACTGGAGACAAAGGATAACCAAGTTTTGTCAACAATTGTACCAACCAAACAATTTCACAAACTGCTGATAATCCGTAATTATACAGTTTTTATTTGTTTTTGTCGGATTTCAGGTACTTTCTAGTGCTTTTTTTACCTGAATTGGTGCTTAATCTTACTTTCGTGTTTCAGGTTAAAATGGACTTTTTAGCAAATAAAGACGAAATTGGATAGTTTTGACTCAGAATTAGCGGATCTCGAAGATGAGAGTCCAGAGCAGGACAAGCACGATGAAGCTGTTTTTTCCAAGAAGAGAGCCAAAATCGAAGAATCGAATGAAGAAGCAAGCAGAGTGCAGTTCTGTAAATTTCAGAACTTTTGAAGGAGCTCGCCCCGCCGAAGAAATTGTCTTCGCCGCGGCGAAGTAAGCCAGACGATGTGGGATTTCTTCATTCTTTGCGCGGCGGCGAAGAATTCTTCTTCGCCGCGGCGACAGTCAACTTATTCAGTTTGTAAACGCACAGTTTCGTGTTTGGCGTGTTTTTGGCTGGGTTTTTGGACTAAGTATAAAAGAAAACTTAACCTTTTGCCAAGGGGATCTTGAGCTTTTTAGGTTTAGCTGTTTTTACATTTTTCTTAAAGTAAAGCTTGAGTTTTTCGGATTGTTAAGAGAAGGTTCAGATTTTGACTAGAAGATTCATCTTTTGGGGAGATTTCTTATCTTTCATCTCAGTTTCATTATGTTTAACTTGTTTATTTCTGTTTTTCGTTTTTGTAGTATTATTTAGCTATGAACTAATCTCTTAGGTTAGGGTTTTGAGTGTAGTTTGGATTTTAAATGGGTTAAGTTTTGTGATTGTGTTATTTCCATGTGAATAAGCTTCGGTTGTGTGTTACTCTGAAATTAAATGCTGTATGTGTGTACATGATGAGATTGAGAAATATTCATGTTAGGCTTCTTGGGTACACCATTATAGTATTAGATCTAGAGATGATTCAAGAATTAATGAAATCAATTTAGGATCTTGTGCTTAATGATTTAGAATTATTAACCTTCAATTTGTTGGGTGCGGAATGTTAAAAGATGAATAGGAAAACATAGCCTGAGAGGGTATGTTAACATATTAGTGAATCCATTTACAACCATGCGCATGAATGTGAAAATAGTGTAACTTTTAGGTTAACCCTAAAAGTCCAAACGAAGTCAAAACCCTACCCGTTTTTGCTTGAATTGATATTTTGTGTTTCACTTTGCTTTTTTAATTAAGATTTAATTCTTCGTTTAATTTTCATTTTGTTTCTTTTTCATTACATTTTGCTCCCACCAATCCAAGAATTCGATTACTTCAACTTGATAACGTAGGAAACTTAGTGCTTTGCTAACAGTCCTCGTGGGAACATATCCTACCCATCACTTTATTACTTGAGCGCGAGTGCACTTGCTAGTTTTGAATGTTGAAGAACACGCACAAGTTTTTGGCGCCGTTGCCGGTGACTGTTTTTTTAGTAACATTAATTTTTCCTTAGTTTAGCTAATTGAAGTTTAATTTTTGTTTTAATTTTCATTAGAGTTATGATCTCACTTTCTTTCACTTGTGTTCGTTCAGTTATGCGAAGAGCAAGATGTCAACCAGTGGTTCCTGTTGACCTTGGCTTGAGAGGACTGTAAAAGACTTAACAGAGACAGAAGAGAAAGAGATAATCCTACCGAATCGGAAGAAGTTGTTGTTGAAATGGCTGAACAAGAAAATAGGACACTGAGAATTTCAGTTCCCACAGTGAACGGAAGTCTGTCAAGTATTACAGACCTACAGTACAAGCAAACAACTTCGAATCAAGCCGGCAATCATCCAGAGATGCAGCAGTCGGTTAGATTCAACGGTGATTTGAAGGGGATCCGAATCAGCACATTGCAAATTTCCTGGAAATTTGCGACACCTTCAGCATCAAATGGAGTGTCGGATGATGCTATTAGGCTGCGTTTATTCCCATTCTCATGGGAATAAAGCAAAAGGGTGGTTAATGGCATTACCACCGGGAACAATAACACATGGAAGGATCTGCACAAAAATTCTTGACCAAGTTCTTTCCTCCAGCGAAGTCAGCGAAATTAAGAAATGATATCACATCATTTCTACAGATGTGCCGACGTTGTACGAGCTTGGGAGAGATACAAGGAATTGATGAGGAAGTGCCCACATCATGGTTTGCCAGTTTGGCGCAAGTCCAAACATTCTATAATGGTTTGAGGGGTAATGTGCAAACCATGGTGGATGCAGCTTCAGGAGGGGCTTTGCAGAATAGAACACCTGAGGAGGCGTATGAGTTTGCTTGAGGTTTTGGCAAGCAACAATTATCAAATACCGAATGAGAGAGTTACAACGAGAAATCTTCGAGTCTTCATGAAGTTGATGCTTTCACAGCCATCTCAGCCCAACTCACGGCACTCAAAAACAGTTGGGAACTATGCAGGTAAATTCTATACAAGCACCTCAACTAACATTGAATTTGTGCAGGAAACCATGTGAGCAGCGAGTGCCAATTTGGAAACACATTGCACTGTCATCTTCATCAACGGAGCAAGTGAACTACTTGGCAGGAAATCAAAGACAACCGACAACCATTCTCCAACACATATAATCCGGGTTGGAGAAATCACCAAATCTGGCTTGGGAAATCAAACACAACAAATACCAATGGAACCAAAGGCAAGTTCCAAATAACCCGCCAGGGGTGACCATCAACCAGGAGATCAAAAAGTGTCGAAGTTGAGGATATTTTCGGTAAATTCATGCAAGAGACACAGGGTTCATGATGAGCGAGGACAAACTTTAGAAACTAAGGGGCATCCATTCGGAATCTTGAGGTACAGATGGGCCAATTGGCCGAGAACTGAATGATAGACCGCAGGTTCTCTACCAAGCAACACAGTGACCAACCCACGTGAACAGCAATGCCATAATTTTGAGAAGTGGGACAGTTTTGGAAGAGGTAGGCCACACTACCAAAAGGTGAGCAACCCGGAAAGGAAGAGTTTAGAGAGAATTGATAAAGAGATTAATTGTGAAGAGAATTCAGGTTACTTAGGGGAAGAGAAAAAAGAAAGAGATGAAGGCAAAAGAAAAGGAGAAATGGCCATTCCCCGAGATACCCCCCAGAATTAGCACATCACACCCCACCCGTGCCTTTTCCTCAGAGATTGAAGAAAAAGAATCAGGATAAGCAATTTTCAAAGTTCATTGAAATTTTCAAAAATTGCATATTATTCCTTTTGCAGATGCATTGCAGCAAATGCCGAGTTATGCGAAGTTTCTGAAGGAATCCTTTCGAACAAAGGAAATTAGAAGATGAGAAACGGTGATGCTCACGGAGATGCAGTGCAATCCCCAGAAGAAATTGCAAAAACTTGATGCGTGTTTCTTACAACATTCAAAACTAGCAAGTGCACTAGTCGCTCAATAATAAAGTGATGGGTAGGATATCGTTCCCACGGACTGTTAGCAAGCCCTAAGTTTCCTAACGTTATCAAGTTGAAGTATCGAATTCTTGTTGGTGGGGAGCAAATTGATATGAAAAAGAAACAAAAATGAAATTAACAAAGAATTAATCTTTAAGAAAGCAAGTGAAACAGAATATCAATTCAAGCAAAAAGGGGTAGGTTTTGACTTCGTTTGGACTTTTATGTTTAAACCTAAAAGTTACAGTATTTTCACATTCATGCGCAATGGTTGTAAATTGGATTCACTAATATGTTAACATACCCTCGTCGGCTATGTTTTCCTATTCATCCTTATTAACATCCGCACCCAACAAATTGAGGTTAATAATTCTAAATTCATTAAGCACAAGAATCCTAAATTGATTTCATTAATTCTTGAATCTATCTCTAGCATCCAATACTTAATGGTGATTACCCAAGAAGCCTAACATGAATTATTTCTCAATCTCATCATGTTCATCACATACGGCATTTAATTTCAGTAACACACACCGAACTTATTCACATGGAAATAACACAATCACAAAACTTAACCCTTAAATCCAAACTACACTCAAAACCCTAACCATAAGAGATTAGTTCATAGCTATAAAATACTACAAAAACGAAAAACAGAAATAAACAAGTTAAACATAATGAAACTGAGATGAAAGATAAGAAATCTTCCCAAAAGATGAATCTTCTAGTCAAAATCTAAACCTTCTTCCTTAACAATCCGAAAAACTCAAGCTTTACTCGAAAAGTGTAAAACCGGCTAAACCTAAA